CGCAGTTCGCCGTTCCCAGCCAATGGGGCTGGGCCACCACTTCTCACAGCTCCCATTGGCCGGGAATGGTGAACCATAGCCAACGGGAGCTGCAAGCAGCCATACCTGCAGACTCTCACGTGAATGTAATGTCTGGTGGCCTGCCAGAGGCTAACCCCGGTAAACCATATCCAACCCGCAGGCCGCTTATTGCCCAGCCCTGCTTTAAACGGACATGAAAAGAAGAGTGAAAGGAAGGTTGGCAGCTCTAAGGAATAAAAGTTCCCATTTTGCTGCATTTCTAAGGCTAACATTGCCAAAACCTATTTGAAACTTGGGTGGGATTTTCAAAAAGTAACCAAATGATTTAGGAACTCGAGTCTTGTTCACTTTGTGGGACTGTTGCACCTAAGTCACTTAGGCACAATGGGACTTGAGCTGTTAAAGTGCTTTTGAAAAATCCCACCTCTCGTGTGAAACTGAGCAATCCTGTTGCACTGCACCGAGCGCTGGCCAACCAGTGACTGCTTGTGAAAAATCCTTCAAGTGGCATTTCTGAACACACACACACACACACACACACACACACACACACACACACACTCCTAGAGGCAGATCACACTACTGCTCCAGTCAGGGATTGCCCACAGGCCAGGAGTTTGAGACCCCTGGTTTAACTGGACTTGACATGGCGCTTAGGGCTTTCTGAAGCCGTATAGCACCGGAGCATCTCTCACCCCAGAGGAGCAGTGTGAACTGTTCTGCAGAGCACTTCCTTGGAAACAGGCCTGTACCCGTGCCGTGGGCGGGAACAAAGCAGAGACCCCTGGCTGAACAATCGCGGAGGGTTGTGTGTGGCTTGGACTTCCTATGCGCTCCGATAGCTGACTTTTGTGATCTGTAGCTGCTAGAATACTTCAGAACATGGATCCGACGACCGAGCCATGCACGGACTTCTATCAGTACGCCTGCGGGGGCTGGCTGAACCGGCATGTCATCCCAGAAACCAGCTCCAGATACAGCATTTTTGACATCCTGAGAGATGAACTGGAAATCATCCTGAAAGGTAGGACGGGGAGGGGCTGGAGCACATAGGCAAAATAGCGAGACTGAGCAGCAGAGCTTTGATCCAAAGATATGTCCCCACCCCACCCCCAGAAGTGGCAGCCAACCCAATGAAATCTGCACTAAACCAATGCATTCACTCCCCTGCCCCCCAAAATAGCATTGGCCGCATAGTCTGTGACTAGTCACTAGGAAAGAGGGCATGGAAGTCATTCTGCTAGAGCCCCTTTTATAAATTAACTAGAAGATTTACCCAGCGTTGTTTGGGTCACCCTGGGGGCACCTGGGAGGTGGGAGGCTCAGGTGGGGCTGGGGATGAGGGGTTTGGTATGCAGGCTGCCCTGGGGAGAGAGGACAACCCCAGTCCCCTGTCACCGCAGCAGCTTGGGGCCAGGTGAGAAGCGCCTCTCAATGGACGCTGCAGCTGAGGGACAGACAGAGAGGCACACAAACAGATAAACTCAACTATATAGTAGATAGCTGTCCCTTTCTGCACCCCTTCCCCTCCTGCTCCAGTCCCCATCTCTGGCCCTTTGCTGCCCCCCCTGTGGTCAATATACAGTATAACTGTCCCTGCTAGCAGATTCCTCCCTTTCTGTCCTATGAGAAACAATCACATTCCAGGCACATCTATTGTCCTGGCACAACCAAATTGTTATCTCGCTTTAAATTAGGATAAGAGGAAGCTGCTTACTAAATTTGGAGATCCTAGCTCCAAAGACAGACAGACTCACTCGCTCACAGACAGACAAACTCTCTCACGTGTATACTAGACAGAGCTCCATTCAAGTCAGTGGCGCAACATTGCTTCATGCCATCGGATGATCTTACCCCGAGTCTTGAAAAAAGCCTTGTGTCTCAGGCCAGGTCTAGCCATTAATAGTTTTGCTGGTACAGTAATGTCAGTTATGGGTGTGATTTCTTACTACATTTTTATACCAGCCACAACCCTTGTGTCAATGCACTTATACTGGTAAAAAGCTTCCTTGGGCAGGATCGCTTGTTTCACATGAGGAACTGGCATAAGCTATGCCGGCCAAAGTACTCCTTTGCCAGAATATTAGCAGGAGCAGTAGCTTGCATATATTACATAGTGCCTGAGAGCCTTAGCCTTGGAGCCGGATGCATTGCGTTAGGTGCTGTACAAATACAAAGATAGCCCCTGCTCCCAAAAGCTCACTGTGTAATGTGTGTCTGGCACAGTTTGTCTGAAGAGCTAGACCAGCAAAACTTATTTAGCGTAGACTAAGTCTTGGTCAGCACTAGATCCGAGCGGGGGATGAGGGCTGTGTTGGTATCATACATAATATTGCAGATTTCTCACCACCGCTGATTTTTTTTAATAAAAGGGGAACATTGGCCTATGTCATTTTTTTCTCAAAATGGTAGGCACCAGAAAGCCCCCCCCCCCCCACCTTTGACCTCACGGTTACAGACATACCACAGCGGTGTGTTGTCCTTGGTTCTGCTTGTGGTAACAGCCGGCAACTGTATGTAAAAAAAAATCAGGATGGGGTGCGCTGACATGCGAAATGATGAACGCCCTGATACCTACTGTGTCCAATCACTTGTCCAGACCTTTCTCCTCCTGCCCCTCCACACACAAACTCCTGATCCTACTGAAATCGACTAGAGTGTTGGCATTGAGTTCAGTGGGAGTAGGAGAAGCCGTGTGTGTGTGGGGGGGGGGGGGTCTCCCTTCACACTCTTCCCTTCCTGTACAAGAGCTCCAGTACAGAGCACTCTGGTTTCATGGCCGATGGAGCCAGTGGGTGTTGTGTGTGGCTGGCATTCTTGCATTACCCCAATTCGGAGGATGAGAAAGAGGCGCCCCAGGGCACTGTCTTACTGCAGTGGTTCCATTCCTCCAGGTGTGCTGGAGGCTCCGGAGCACAGCGATCGAGAAGCCTTTCGGAAAGCTAAAATGCTTTACACTTCCTGCATGAATGAGAGTAAGTCTCCTCTTCTTCCGCTCCTAGACTTGTGAAAGTAACAAACCCAACCCTCTGGCAAAGCCTTCCAGGCAGCATGTTCCCTCCCCCGCCCCCTCCCCGGGGTCTCCCCTGAAAAACCCGTCTTTCTGCAGGTAGATGACTTGAGCACACACACAGAGCTTCAGGGTGTGAATTCTGGGCATGGGCAGTGGATAATGTAGGCAAGGGAAGGCATTGCCTTCCCCAAAAATACCCGCACTCCATGGCCGCAGGGCAAGGCTGGGGCCACGGCATGGCAACCTGGCTCCCCGGCTAGGGTGGGGTGGGGCCTTGGGTAGAAGGGGCGGGGCTAGGACTTGCCTTCCCCACCTGAGCTTTCACCCACTGCCCATGATTCCGGGCCATTAGGGAAAGGGCTACACACCTCTACACCTGCCTTTCTGAACACAAGCCAGGTATTAGCCTTATCCCATGTTCTCCTGAGACCAGCGTTCCCGGAAAGTTGAGCTCTTGGGCGGCCATCCAGGAAGATTCAAATGCCACGCAGATGATTAGCAGAGCATCCACAGCACTCAGAGCCAGCAGCAGGTGTTCCTTCTGGTGGTGCACATCTGCACCTGCCTCAGTGCACATAACAAAATTTATTCTTCACACAGTTGGAAAAATTAGAAGGGACACTGCCTGGTACCCGATACACGTCCCACGCTGAAGTCAATGGGCGTCTTTCTGTTGGCTTCAGTGAGAGTTGGATCAGGCCCCTAGTACTTTCAGGATTGGCCACCCATGGCGCACGTCCCCCGAGAATCAGCTATAAAACCAACTCTTGGGCAAACATGACAAAATTAGTCTGGGGGATGGGTTGTCCACTCCCACTCTCCAAAAACAATGGGACTTACATCCCAGAAAGCAGCATTTTATCATGAGGATTTTGTTCAAGTAATCAAGGTAACAAGGGCCATCTGGTAGTTCTGAAGGCAAAGGAGAATTTCTTCAGCTGTTTTAGGAACAATCTAAGAAAACCCTTTTTGGAGTTGTATGTGGACTGTGCAAGACTGAGCAGGCATTTCCTAGATTGTATATACACATTTATTATATTATAGTATCATCGTCTTGCGCTGAATTATTTGGGATTTGTATATGACACGGTGGGTGACTTGTCACTTAGCAACCCCATGTGGTTTCTGAAAGGAAATGTGCTTTGCTTTTGAAGTCGCCTATAAGCATAACACAATGTGATTAGGGCACAGGGTAAGGATGCCTAAAGCATCCCGGGCACATGTTCAAAAGGAAAATAGACATCTAGGAGCCCTACGTGTCTCTGAAGGTCAACCAAAGCTCCTCAATGCCTACATTTTACCCAAGTCTGTCTTCACGGGCAGATGGTGTGTTGGCAAGGATTTGAAGATGAAGGGTATGGATTTACAGCACATACACAATCATGTGGGCTGGATCGCGGAGTGCGGGGGGGTTCTGTTGCACCCCTTAGCTTGAAGTGGTTTGCATTAACAGCTCTTAGCACCCCCCACTGTACAAATTGCTCCAGCCCTCTGCATACAATGTGTTAGAAACAACTCTGTGTGTGAGAATTTAGAAAAATGGTGCAGTCATAGCCCTAGTTTATGACCGTGATACGAGGTTATTATGTGATCACATTTATATTGTGGGGGTGCTAACAGGCTGCAGTCTAGGACCAGGCTCAGTATAGAATGTGATAAGGGACACAGAGTGGCAAATCCACCTGCAGTTAAATACTTGGTCACCTGTCCTGTATAATCCCAAAGAACTCTGATCCTTGGATAAGAACGTCTGATTTGTACAGAGAAACACTGCCTCAGTCTGCATCCGTCTGTGCTCGCTGCCCAAGCTTTATAATGATTTACTGAAGCGGTGCAAAAACTTTTCTAACAAATAAGGGCCCAAGAAGCTGAGGTTGCAGAGACCTACCCTCCCTTCCCACAGGCGTCAGTGATAAACAAAGAGCTTTGCATGGAATTCATCCGTCTCACAAGCCAAAACCCACCAAACAAAGTATCAGATGACTGGGGGGGGTTGAACCCCCAAATGAGTCACAGAACACCCCACAAATCACTAACTCTTTCACCCTGGGAACAGAACCTTTCACGTTCAAAGGGTCCTTGTTAGGATGCAATTACTGCCCAGTGGAGTTGAAAGTTGACACCGCGCTATGTAACAGAATCCAGCTTCATAGGGAACTTTTCAAATCTTTTTCCCTGGCTGCAAGGGCTTCGGCTGCTTAGTTTAGTCTAAATTTTCATCCATGTGCCTTCACTAGTAAAGAAAAAACAGGGGATGTTTTACATCTCTTTCTTCTTCCTCCTCAGGCTTCATAGAGCAGCGAGATTCACTGCCCCTGTTAGAGGTTTTAGCTGTGGTTGGAGATTGGCCGGTGGCTTCCGCCGATTGGAATATCACCAGAGGTAAAGAGGCTGGGGAGCGAAAGAGGTTGATGGCATTGCAACACATCTCCACTGAGGCTTCCCTTACTAAAGTTCTGAGGGACAGTCACACACCATCAACATACACAAGAAGAGAGGAATTTAATGCCTGCGATTAACGATTCCATAGCCCTGTTTCATACACACCAAATTTTGGTTTTGCAATAAATAATCTCTCTCAAGGGCAGACAATGTCATATTTTAACTGATAAAATGAGCACCCACATAAAAACCTCACGACACAATCACAAAATGTGAAAGTAAAAGTCTCATATTCGATGCAACTTTCCAATGGGCACACCCACGCAAAAATTATGTGCCTATATTTTGACATGCTACTATCATAAGTAGATCTTGAAGCACCCCGACAAGATGGTGATTTGGAGAATAAGTATGCAATTGCATATGCTTTTTTTGCATGTGCACATTTGCATTTTTGACAGTTTCCAAAATGTCAGTTACTTTGCAAATGCTATACATAGATAAAAGTGAACCTCCCTTTTATCAAACAAAGATCTGTCATCAGACACATGAAAAAAGAACAGGTCTACTTAGATGCCACAGTGATAGGCATGTTCAAAAAGCCAGGGCAGGTAGATTACAAGCTCTTGGTGTGATCCATGGAGTATGTGCCTCAGTGTGGGGGTACGTCTATACAGCACTTATTTCAAAATAGAGCACGCTTTCTCTGACGTCCCTTCCTTCTCGCACAGAAGTTGGAGTAAGAAACCCGTTATTTTGAATTGATTTTGAAATAACGGGCTGGCTGTGTAGATGCGCAATACGTTATTGCGGAACAACGAATGTTATTCCGAGATAACGCTACTGTGTAGATGTACCCTGGGAGTTTCAAAGCGTTCCGCATTAGCCAAACTCAGCTTCCATTGGCGTCAATGGATTACGTCAATGATTGGCTTCCATGGACCAACACGGGTAACTTTGGAAAATCCCTCTCCTAATCTCCAAACTGGCACTAAAGAAATGTCCATTCCTGTTATGTTTTCTTGCCCCTGCTCCTGGAAGACCTTCCAATCCAAGAGGTGCAAGGTAAAAACATCCTGCTCTTCTTTCTTGTCCTTCCTGAAAAGCTCACCTCTTCCACAAAGCATTGACCCCCCAGCTTCGAGCTCCTGTCTTAAATCTATCCAGCAAAAGCCAGGCCAGACACTAAAACAGGGACATCAGCGGGCTCACCTGCATGCCTTATGCCTCTGAAGTGTTTTGTCTGCATAGCACTTGGAGCAAGAATTAGGGTTTCCTCGGTGCTGGGTACAAGGCAGAACTGTCCAGCGCAACACTAGTAAGAATGATGCTAAATAATCAGTTACAGACAGAGAAGTCTCCTGTAGGATCACTTGGTCTATCCACTCCCAGCCAGTGCAGGATTGTTCCCTGCACGCTATCTTCAAGGGCTCTGTCCAGTCCAATTTAAAATTACATAAGCAATAGGCTTACCCTAGATGAAACTTCATTTCTCTTGATACACATCAATAAACAAAGCCTCTTTTTTCCCTTTTATTCCCCCAGGGCCACACTGGCACATGGAAGAGAAACTCGCCACCCTGAACTCCAGATTTAACAAGCGTGTCTTAATTGACATGTTTGTATGGAACGACGACCGGGATTCCAGCAGACATATAATTTATGTAAGACAAATAGGGAACTACCGCTCCATAGGGCCAGGTACCCCAGATTCACAATGGGGGAGCTACTTGCATCACATTTAGACAAGCTTCCCATTTGTATTGGTGGGCATTCAGAACATGGGGGGAACGTGTATATATTTTTTTAAATCTACAAAGCTACTATTCAGGGTACCCCCAAAGAGTATCACACACACAACCTGAGGCATCTCCTATATGGATTTACCCACAATAAAGGTCTGGGCCATTGCTTAATGTTATAATTCATCAACAGTATTTAAAATGGAGCATGAAAGTCAACTGCAGATATCCAGTAAACATAGCTAGTCCGTATATGAACTATAGTCCATATAGTGAACCATGTAGTTCGTCTCGTATCCTTTATTGTTACCTATGAAATCTAGCTCTGGAATGGGCAACATTTTCTCTGGTGAGTTACTATAATTTAGTCTTTCAGAGATTCTCAGTGGTCACTGAAAAATCTTGCCTTATAATCATGGATGAGAATCCATCCAATACTGCCCTGGAGAGTGAGGGTCAGATCTTGGCCCCATGCGTGAAGCTCTAAGAATTGGAAGTCAATAATTCTGGCTTCCATCTCACTTCCAGCGCCTAGGAAGAATAAGCTAAGCGGGTTTGTCATGTACTAGTATGCTCCGGTCCTTCCAGTGTTACAGGGGCCGTCTATGCAGCTTTTCACATTGCCCTTGAGTGACCCCCTCTTACCAACCAGTCTCTGTGCTCATCACTCACTAGAGATATGTACTTGATTTCCTTCAGATTGACCAGCCTACTTTGGGAATGCCATCCAGAGATTACTACTTTAATGGTGGCAATTACCAAAGAGTAAGTATTCCTGGATTTTGTATACTGGGTTTTACTAAACATTGCTTTTCACTAATCATTTGCAGGTGAACATGGCTTTGCCAAACCACAGTAACTGAATCTTCATGGCCTCCAATCATGGCATTTAAACTGTGGAACTCATTGCCACAGGATGTCACTGAGGCCAAAAATTTAGCAAGACTCAGATAGATTGGGCACTTAAATGAGTAACAAGACTATCTGGAGTTGTGTTAGTTAATGGTAGCAAAAAGAGTAATGGAAGGAAAATAAAACCTTGTGTTTCAGGATTTTAACCAATCTCTAATTTTGGGGGATAGGGATGAGACACTTCAGATGAGGCAGATTATCCCACATCTGCCTACTTCAGGGTTTCTTGCTCTTTCCTCTGAAAACATCTGGTACCAGCCACTGTTGGGGACAGGACACTGGATTAGAGGGACTTAGAGGTCTGATCCAATGTGACCACTGGACTAGCGGTCTGATCCAATGCAACAGTTCCTTTATTCCTAGATTTCTATGATATGGAGATTTCTTAAACCCCCAAATTCATTCCGATGAAACCCAACTGTAGGAGGTTTCAGATATCCCCGAGACAGACAATTGCATTCATGAAATCAGGATTTACCTGAATAAATAGAAGGAAAATGAATGGAACGAATCATTGATTGATGAGAACCTGGCCCTGTATGTTTTGGGTGATCCTTATATTTTTGCGAATTGTTCCAAAAACAGCACGAAAGTTTGGAGATGCTATTTTGCTCCACTGCACAGCGCAAATGTGTTCGCTTCCCCCTCCTTGCTTGCTTTTCTTTGTAAATGCCTGGCTGAGCCGCTGCAAATGGAGATGGATAGAGATAATTTGTCAATTTCAGGCCTGAAAATCCTTTTGAAGTTCTTTTTCTTTTCTTAATTATTTCATGCTAACTAAGTAGATTTGCAGCCTAGCATTAAATTGAATTTCCTAATGCGAATGAAAGGGGAACCATGTAGACAATGATCAAACATTTCAGACTCGGTTCCATGTTACCATCGTAGGCACTGATCCAAAGCCTGCGGAGACCTCGGAGAGTCTTTCTGTGAATTTCAATGTGTTTTGGAACAGGCCATTCGTGAGTCAGAATTTTGAGGATTTCTTTAGGTTTTGATAGAGTATCTGTTGGCATCCCCCCCCTTAGTCACCTTAGCAAATAGTGATTCCTACAGCCCCTGTCCCATATCGTGCTGACCATGGAATTCAGCATGTGACCTAGCGCAATGCACTCAAGGTACCTGTCCAGAGAATGTGGTCAGTCTGCAGACAGTCACAGATGCTACGGAGCATGTGGGAAGTCAATTGTGTACAGAACTTCTCAGAGACACAGTGACACCTGCAAAACAAACCAGGTACTTTGTAAGGCTGGATATTGCCTAAAAGGGAAACAAAATTGTACTGGACGTGGCATTGGGCTGTTTGACAGTGGGCAGGGCCCCGTCTCTTGGAAGTGAGCTCCCCTAGTGCAGATTTCATTTGCATGTTCACCATTTTTTAAGGGGGAGGGAAGAGTGAAAATGAAGCATCATGCCCAAGGTCAAACTTAGAAAGACTCCAGGGAGGCAGAGGGAGGATGGATTCTCTCCTGTTCCCAAACCCCAGAGAATCCCCTAAAAAGAGACTTCACAGGGATAGCTGCTATGCAGTCTTCCCAAAAAGCACTTCTGCCAATAACAAAAGAGGTAAAATTATCTCTCTTCTCGATGTCTCTGTTTTTCCAGCCACCTTTTATCTGTCTTGTCTACTTTACAGCTTTGGGCTATGGGTGCTCTCACTCACTTTGTATCTGGAGCGTGTCAGCTACAATGGACTCTCACTCTTGGAAGAGGCATTGCTGTGCTACTTTATGATAATAGCAATAGAAAGAGAGACAAGCTAAATGGGCTAGGGAAGTTTGCATTGAAAAAACCAAGAGCGGGGGGGCAAGGTGAGCTGCAAAGTTTGGCTTGGGAACCACATTTTGCCAACATTTTCAGAGTCTCTAGGATCCAGGGTCTTAGTCCAAACCCATCTTTAGGAAAAGGTCAATGACAACTTTTTGCATTTTAATTTAGCGCTAGAGTTCTTTCTCCACACATTGGCTGATGTCTCTAGAACTTCCTCAACAAGACAGGGCACGGAAAATCTCTCACACCGATGCTACTGTAACCCTGAATTTCTGGGCAAAATGTGCTTGATAAGTGGAGACCGTGAAGATTGTTAATCTTTTAAAAATGACACCGATGTACCCGGTTTCCTTTCCCATGTGTTTAGGTGCGGGATGCCTACCTGCAGTTCATGATCACCATAGCCAAAATGATCCGAGAAGACAGGAATATGTCAAAAGATGACACTTTTGTCCAAGAGGAAATGGCGAAGGTTTTGAAGCTTGAAACTGAGATTGCAAACGTGAGTATGTGTCTGAGGGAGGATTGGTAGGGGAACTGAGACAGAGCGATGGGTTGTCATGATATCTGGAATCACGGCTTCTCCTGAACAAGAGTGGAAAGATGCTCGTGTTGCACCTCTAAGAGGCATAACATAAAACTCAACACCCGTAGGGAGGCAGGGCAAAGGTGGTTTTATTGCTCTTTTGCCAACCCTGGGTGATGGGCTAAGTTGAAGCAGGTTTGTGGATTGTTCACTAGCACAATCTGGAATGGCCATAGTAGTGCTGACTATGTTGGAAGAGACCTCAGGAGTCATCAAGTCCAACCCCTGCCCAAAGCAGGACCAACCCCAACTCAATCACCCAGCCAGGGCTTTGTCAAACTGGGGCTTGAAAACCACTCCCTCCCTAGGGAACCCATCCCAGTGCTTCACCACCTCCTAGGGAAATAGTTTTTCCTAATATCCAACCTACACCTCCCCCACTGCAAATTAAGACCATTGCTCCTTGTTCTGCCATCCGTCACCACTGAGAACAGCCTCTCTCCATCCTCTTTGGAGTCCCCCTTCGGGTAGTTGGAGGCTGCTATCAAGTCCCCCCTCGCTCTTCTCTTCTGTAGACTAAACAAGCCCAAATCCCTCAGCCTCTCCTCATAGGTCATGTGCTCCAGCCCCCTCATCATTTATGTTGCCCCCAGCCATGGCCCCTATGCTGGGACTTGCAGAAGAGGCCTTGCAGGGCAACATAAGCTGCCTGTTGCAAAACCTATGCAATGTCCCTACCAGTGCTGGTGCCTTACACAACCCAACACCAACAGAGGGGGGCAGCCACTCCACAGGAGGGGAAATGGGGCCAGAAGCGGTGGAGGTAGGAGCTCGGGTTGCCATGGCATCCAGTCCAGGAGATTGGTAACACTGGAGCAGGGCAAGGAGGGAGGATCTCAACAAGGGAGCCAAAGGAGCAGCGGGCGGCCATATGGCTGGCTGGGGAGAAGCGGAGCTTGGGAAGGGAAACAGTCGCTTTTCTCCAGCCGCCAGCTGCTCGGTCACCCCTTGCTCCTCTGGAGTCCTCCGCCCGCACACATGACCCTCACCACTGCCTGGTGAGCGGGGGCTGGATGCAGCCCACAGGGGGTGGGGCAGCTGAGGGGTGGGGCTGGGGGCTGCTGGAGCTAGCACTGAGCCTACAGGGAGGGCAGCTAGGGGATGGGGCTGCCAGCTGCTTAACATTCCATCCCTAGATAGTCATAGCAGTGTTGTCCCAAATTTAGTGGTGCCCTACGCAGCTGTGTACACAACGAGGCATTTCCCCGGCCGGATCTAGGGCTCCTTCAGTGCTTTTAAATTGCTGAAATGGCAAGGAGTCTTGTGGCACCTTATAGGCGAACCAAAGTGTTGAAGCATAAGCTTTTGTGGGCAAAGACCCACTTCATCAGATGCATGTCAGATGCACGGCTACCCCTCTGATACTTAAAGCATCCTGAAAGACATGAATTTTTTTTTTTAATCTACCACTACGACAGTCGTCCACATAGTTCAAGTTCCAACTTTGTCTCTATTGTTTAACAAAGACCAGAGCCTGTCTGGATCTCTGTATGGAACGTAGAGACTTCTAATGACTGATTAATTTACTACAAGAACACAGGGTGTGGAACATCATATCTAACCATTCCTAAACAGTCTAGCAGTGCAAAGCCATATTGCCAAAATAATGAGAGAAAAATATATGTATATATACCCATATTCTGTAGTTCAATTAAGCTTTATAATTATTAGAGTTTAGACCTGGCAAAACTTTCCAGAAGTACACCAACAACAAAAGAGTTCAAAGTTGTGAAAAATCTGGATTAGCTGAGTATTTAAAAATGGTTTATGATTATAAACATGCATCTTTATTTTCCATGCAGTTTTTTAAAGATAGGGTCTCTGTTCTGCCATGTTGAATAGTTTATCTAAGCTCAGTTAAAAAGTCTGAGATTAGCAAATATATTAGAGCATGAGCTTTTGTGGGTTAAGTCCACTTCGTCAGATGAGTTGCAGTGAAAATTACAGAATCCAGGGTATATATATAACAGCAAAAGCAGTTACCTGTCAATTATAGGACCGGTGTTAATTAAGTCAATGAAGCTAATTAAGTTAGGCTACATGTGTCCCATTCATAGCATTTGAGGTGGAGATGCGAGTATGCAGCAAATAAGTGACTAGACAATAGAGACTAAAAAATGTATTGTAGGAACAAGTCAGATAGAGGTGGCCATAAAGTTCAGCAATGGCACAGACTGGTTGTATTTCCCACAAATCCCAACCACATTTAGATCAAACACGGTATTTTCCCAAAACCAGAACTTCATGGAGTGTAAATTTCCCATATTTATAAGTGTCCTGACTTTACATGTGTATTTGCTTTAACTGAGTATAGAAGAGAATCCAAAGATTTTTCTGGTGCTGGGATTTTTGCATTGCAAATGCCGCAGTGCTGCTGTAATTTTCCATGCTGGTTCTGCAGAGGATGGAGGGAATTTCTTGTCCATCACATTACTGAAATAGCATAATGGTCTTGAAAGTTAACTGGTCTTGGCTGTTAACTGAGACACTGAAATGTAAAGAACTCAGCGTGGGACTCTGAATTTTCTTTTTCTAAAAACACTGAATGTATTTTAAGAAGCACTGAAGTGTGCATACGTGTGTGAGAGAGAGAGCATGCCCCTGCATTTGTGTGACTGCTGTTGAAACTCTTGTCAGTCGATTCAAAAGGTAACTATGTGAATCTCCATAGGCTAACGCTTCTGCCGACGAAAAGACCAAAATGACCCTAAGAGAGCTACAGGAAAAGTTTGCCATGAATGTAAGTGTTTTGGTCAGAATGTAATGGCTCCCCGCTCCTCACACTGTCTAGTCCATGAAAAACAGCTTTGCAGACTCTTTGTACTTGCAAAACAAAAGGGATCTAAAGTCAAGTCTCTTCTTCATGTAAAGCTAAGAGGTTTTTAAGGCCTTTTCCTTTTCAACAAAGCCACAACTGAAGCATTTGCCAGACCTGAAATCTCTGGCCCATGCAGAATCATAACTATGCAAACTCCAGTCCAAAAAGAAAGGTTTAAAGTCCTTTAGTTCTATGCACAGAAGAAACAGGTATACCACGTGGTTGGTGCAAAGCTGGGATAATCATTTGGTAAAACTTTAATGATTCCTTCCTCTCTTTTTGCATGGGAGTATCTCCGTCAAAATCATTTTGAAAATCTGAAAATGCAGCAAGCAATCATGGCCACAAGTTGTCCAGAGAATTCGTTTGCTTTCTCCCAGCAATGTTTAAACTTCCAGTGGAAGAAACAAGAACTAACCCTATCTACATTTTGGCTTGCAATGCCTTGATGCGACAAAAGTAGTGGGAAACTCTTCACTAAATATGGGTTTAATATTATTTTAAGGAGCTTTTAGCACAGATATGCAAGTGATATATCTATCAATTGAGGAATAGCACAGTAGCAATATTAGCCACGTTAGTTGGAAAAATATTGTCTGTACTTTTACCATCACTACTAGACCGAATTGGATGGGAATCCAAAAAACGATCAACTTTCAGGTTAGAATCTTTCTAAAGGGCAAGGTCTCTTCCCATCTGCGACATACATTTTCTACATACAGCGGGCACGGTGGGACTAAAAGGACAGACTTTGCCCCCATTTAAAAAAACCTAAACCTCATTTTAATTGGGCACAGCATGAGAAAATATAACCGAGAGGAGGACTTGTCATGCTGCAGTAGCAAAACAGAAAGGAATGAAGTCAAGTTTTATTTCCCAGTTGTGGGGGAAAACAGAGTGCGTCTAAACAGGTATATAAAGTAGGAGATTGAGGTACATTGGATGATGCATGTATGTACAGTTTGTTTTTTTCTTCATGGCATTCAATATGATATAATCAAAGGCTCTACGGGCTCCCTCTGGTGGCAATTTCAATATGTGTCCAAAAAGATCCCAAGGAAAGACCGCCCAGCCAAAGGAGGGAGAGGTTTGTGTATAACATGCTTCAAACTGCAGGCTCTGTCCTTCAAAGACGCAAGGGATTTTTTATTATCTTAGTCATTATATCAGGGGTGCGAACTAAGCAGCCTGCCGGCCAGATGCAGTTTGCCAGGGCTCGATGCTTTATTTACCTGTCTCCCCCGCAGGTACAGCTGCTCGAAGCTTCCATTGGCCACGGTTCACCATTCCTGGCCATTGGGAGCTGCGGGGCGGGCTGGGCTGCCACTTCCCGTGGTTCCCGTTGGCCAAGAACAGCGAACCGTGGCCAACAGGAGCTGCGAGTGGTTGTACCTGCAGGCACGCAGGTAAATAAAGCATCCTAATCCTGGCAAACTGCATCCGGCCCATGGGCGGCTTCTTGCCCAGCCCTGCGATACAAACATACAGCTCATAATTGTAGAACAGAGCAGAGACTCAGGGGGTCTGTGCAAAAAAAAAGAGAGGGGAGCAAAACCAACCTGTTCACCTCCATACTACGATCTCAGCCATCAAGGGTAGGGAGTGCCTGAAAATTACAGCCTCTGGGGAACTCAGGGGAGAGTTATCCAAAGGGTTCGACCACTTTTGTGCCACGATGCAGGCTGTTAGTTCTATGCCTTACACACCCCCGGCAACATTAAATGTCAGCCTGCCATTTTGCACACCATGGGTCAGTCTTGCTAGACTGCAGCCCTTTCATTTGGTTCCAACATGAACTCCTCTGTGACTACTCACTTCTAGCGGGAAGCCCAAGACTTCTAGTGTGCTCAGGTTGGTGTGCATCACAAGCTTGTCTTATCATGATTGAGAAACGCCTATGCCCAAGTCAAGTGCACAACAGGGCAAAATATATATATGCATCAAGAGAAGTTCAGACCAGTATCTGATCCTGAAACTCACAGAATCGTAGGGTGGGAGGAGACCGCAGGGAACCAACCCCAACTCAAATCAGGACCAACCCCAACTAAACCATCTCAGCCAGGACTTTGTCAAGTCGGGACTTCAAAACCTCTAGGGTTCGATAGACAGTTGGATATGTCTGATGACTGGCCCCTATGCAGTCCCAGCGTGCCCAGTGAGCGACGGCAGGATTCCGTTGGAACAGGTATCAAGAAAAGCTTGGAATCGGTGTGTCTGCCTCTCTGCCCTCACAGGAGTTTAACTGGACTCTCTTCATCCAAGGCATCATGTCTTCAGTGCACATTCAGATCCCCCTGGACGAGGAGGTGGTGGTGTACGGCTTGCCCTACCTGCAGGAGCTCAAGGCGATTATCTCCAGCTACTCGGCAAGGTATCGAGGCTGGGAGAGAACGGGAGCTAGAGGAGGGAAGAGGAGCCCCCACTGACCGCCAAAGGGCTCGGGTGGGGATGAGGCGGGTTTCTTCCTGGTTATGCCACAGTGGAATCATGTTCTCTCCTCTATAACAATCGCACGGGGCTGGTGGCAGGCAACATACATTGACAGGTGGGCGGGTCTCAGCCACGAGCACCCTAGAAGAGAAGCAATAGGACGTGGTTTAGCTCCCATTACATGTGGAAGTTAGTCAGTCCCCCAAAGCAGCAGGGAATGGGACCCTGTGGAGTGATACTGAATGGCCGGCACCTCTGAGCTAAATGAAAGCAGCCGGCACAGCGCCCCATGGGGGCTGCGAGCAACTTGGCTGGCATTGCCAACCCCTGTCCTGCACATTCGGGCAGAAGCTTGCCCTGTGACCACCTGCATTAACGTGAAACTCCGCTTTGCTTTGTACCCCGCAGCACCATCCAGAACTACTTAGTCTGGCGCCTGGTGATTGACAGGGTCAGCAGCTTGAGTCGGCGCTTCAAGGACGCCCGAGCCGACTACCGAAAGGTAAGGACCCTCCCCCCTCAAAGAGTCCATTCAGCTCTGACATCCTCCTAGCGACCTTGACCTCCTCAGCTGCAGGACGACACGATGCTAGGGGAAGGGCAGCCAGTCCCTCTGGGCACAAGGGACTGTAGCCGAGTCCACATTCTAGCCCCTGCTTTGGGAAAGGTGGGCCCAACGTGGATCCAAGCACAGCCCAAGTCTGGAGATGTGAGAATCTGGAGTTCAGGGGCAGGCCTGTCCCTAGTGCTGTTATCAAGGTCGGTTCTTCGTTGGGTTCACGTTGCGGCGGGGGCCCAGGCATGAGAAGTGCAAAGAGAACTGAACGAACACCTCAGAGGTTGCCGTTACTTTCAGCCCCGCTGAGAAATGGGTTCTGCAATTCCCTGGGACCTTCCCGTGCGGACGGGCCCACACACCAGCCCCATCAGGGTACTAGGAAGATACAGACACATCTGATCAGACACACTACACACCAACTTCAGTATTAGACTCAAGATGGGAACTGGAATGAGCCTTTTATGGAGGTGCAAAATTATCATGTTTCAGAGAGGTAGCCGTGATAGTCTGTTTCAGGGGAACTCTGGGTCAAACTGCTCTCCATAGGCTCAGGCTTTCCAGTTAAAGCCTTCTTGGGCACATATCCTCCAAACCATTTGACATTAGCCCATCACTAGTGGCAACTCTTCCAGCAGACCATTTCTTTGAGCCACCATTGCAGAAGGACAGGAACCCTCCCTGAGGGTGTGTCTAGACTACACCTCTCTGTCAACAGAGAGAGGTAGATCAGGCATGTCAAAATTGCTAATGAAGCCAGGATTTAAATATCCCACGCCTCATTAGCATAAACATGGCCGCTGCTTTTTTTTTCGAAACAGAGCTTTTTGGGGGGAAAAAGGGCCGTGTAGATGCGGATCTGTCAAAAATAAAGTCTTTTTCGACAGATCCTGTAAACCTCATTTTTTGAGGAATACAGGATCTGTCAAAAAAGGCTTTATTTTTGACAGATCCGCGTCTAGACTGCCGGGGGTTTTTTTTTTTTTAAAAACTCCTTTTCGAAAAGAAGCGGCGGCCATGTTTATGCTAATGAGGCATGGGTTATTTAAATCCCGGCTTCATTAGCAATTTTGACGTGCTTGATTTGCATCCCTCTGTCGACAGAGGGATGCAATCTAGATGTAGCCAGAGATGCCTTCACCGCCTATATATAGCGAAACTCAGAGGTTCTCAACCTTTTTCTTTCTGATCTCATACCCAACATGCTATTCAACTTACCTGTGCCTCCACAACTGGTGTTTCTATGTAAAATGGCCATCTCTGGCTTTGGGGATTAGCAATCAGCTAAATTGCCAGGGCCCCATGAGGTGAAATTACTCAGGCTTTGGCTTCAGCCACATGCTTCAGTCCTGGCGCCCAGCCAGTCTGATGCCAGCTCTGCTTGGTGGAACCCAGAAACCTGCTCACATTCCTGGACCTTGGTGGAGAACGTTGGCAACAACAATGCATCTGGGGACGAGGTGGGCAACCAAGCTGAGGGGCACTGCAGAAAGCCTCAGGCATCCAAATGGAGGAAGAGACAGATAAGACATGAAATGACCGAGTGGTGGGATAGAGATTGTGCTGTACCCATATCACCTCCAAACAGCATCCTGGCACCATGAACCACTGGAAGACCAGAGCGTCCAAAGAAACAAAGCTGAAGTGTGAGGGCACAAAAGTAGAATGGCCTCTCTTTCTGATTAGCCCTCTTGCCCTTTAACAACTGGAGGAGGGACCCAGGGGATGGTACAACAGGCAAAATTGATTTCCCTCCATTTTTCCCCCAGGCACTTTATGGGACAACCCTGGAAGAGGCCCGTTGGCGGGAATGCGTGAGTTACGTCAACAACAACATGGAGAACGCGGTGGGAGCGCTGTATGTTAGGGAGACATTTGCTGGTGAGAGCAAGAGGATGGTATGTAGATTGCCTTTCATGGTATCATGAGCCCCCAATTCCCATGGATCCTGCCCCAGACCTGTGGCCTAATATCTCATGTACCTAGAACAGAGGTTTAACATAACTTGGGGAGAGACAGACAGGAAGGGGGCTTCATTGTTCCTAAGACAGAGGAACATGGACTTTCCCTCCCGAGAGTGGTGATGCCTTGTGCAGGTGGTCACTGGCTCTTGAGAGGGTCTGTCAATATGAAGCGGGTGTCTGTACGGTCTCCAAACTATGTAATTTTATTGGTATCATTTGCCTTGTGCGTGGAAAAGGAGCCCATGTAGCCCATCTGGGGACACCAGTAACCAAGGGGAAGGAAAACCGTAAGCTAATATGGTCCACATCAGTATCAGAGAAGCAAAGAGCTTCTTAGCTTGACCCTGATGGCTCTTGGTGTGATGGCCGTAGTGTCCAAGGAGCGATCCTCCTCCGTCAGCATTCGCTGTAAATGGAATACTTTGTGGCGACTGCTTCCCCAGCAATTCTGCCATTTCTGAAGCCTGGACGCTTCTTCTGAATCCAGTTCTTAGATGTGAACCAATGACATGCTTTCCGGGTCTCTAGTTACACTTTTGTCCTGGACTGAGCTTGTTTTCTGCGTTTAATTGGCCATGCTCTTCTGGTGCAACCATTGCCTCTGGATTGGTCATTGTAGCCAAGAATTTAGGTATATATGCAAATAGTGTTATTGCTCTGCTTTAAGCCAAGATAAAAATGGTCTATAACAATGACACTCAACACTAAAGATCTTCCTCTTACCTGTCCCTCCCCCAATTAAAAAAATACACCCCCAAATGAGCTAACAAATCAACCAAACAAGAATACAACCTGACAATAAGCGGGGTTTTATACTTCTAACTGGGAGCAGTCAGAGAGTTCATCAAATTGTCTGGAGACATTACCATTGCAAATAGATTCTACATAGCTGTTGAGATTTGATGGTAACAGGCAGCAACAAAACCCTAATGGAGATAAATGGTTAAAGGCTGCTAGCAGGATAATATGATGGCACTGAAACTTATAGAAAGAACTGCATGAAAATAGCGATGTTTGTTTCACAATAATACGTCTGTGAAAACAGATCTCCTAATGAATATTCGTGAAGTTTATTAATTTCTGCCTGACTATGTATATATAGCTACATGGTAGAGGGGAAAAAGGTGGCATTTCTCTACTGGGGTAAAAAAAAAATGAATTTTCCCCAAGAGAATTGCATTGAGGCTTTTTGGTCAGTTTTCCAGCGATGGAAAACACCTGCCTCTTTTTCAAAATATTGTAAACCCCGGCAGGAATGAAAAGTGTGTGTGTGTGTGTGTGTGTGTGTGTGTGTGTGTGTGTGTGTGTGTGTGTGTGTAGAACACAGAGAAACAAGCTGTCGCCAGCAGCTACAGGTCTCCCGTACCAGGAAGTTCCCCAGTTTATTAAGATCCCCATTACTATGGAGGACCAAATAAAGCTGTAACTAATCCACATCTCCCTTTTTTACCATAGAAAGATTAAAACTTCAGATATAGAATCATGGAACACTAGAACTGGAAGGGACCTCGAAAGGTTATCGAGTCCAGTCCCCTGCCCTCATGGCAGGACCAAACATCATCTAGACCATCCCTGACAGGTGTCTATCTACCCTGCTTTTAAATATCTCCAGGGATGGAGATTCCACAACCTCCCTAGGCAATTTATTCCAGTGTTTAACCATCCTGACAGTTAGGAAGTTTTTCCTAATGTCCAACCTAAACCTCCCTTGCTGCAATTTAAAGCCCATAAACCAGTCTGCACACACACAACCGTTCAAAATAAACTTCAAAATCCTTAAAGCTATTTACACTCCAAAGCCCCTTATCAATTGCCTTTAAATAACCCGAGTAGTATGCTAATGAGGGGTTCTGCTGAGCCTCCCATCAGCATGTGCTCAGTGCTTTTGATGCTGTGCATGAGCTCCCTACGGAGCGGGTGCACTTTCTGACAGAGTACCAACCTCCAGCCCCACATCCTCTCTTTGTTTTGTTGGGAAATACAGAAAACGGCCACCCAGCAGGTCCGTGGGAAAGCTGAGAACAGATCCCGCTTGCCAATGCATCATCACTAGGCCAGACGCTGCTCAGACGGGTCCAGATATTGGACTTGTGACTTTCCACGTGCCCTGTCTCACAACAGGCATCGCAGCATGGTTAGAGGCTGAGCAGACTACGTGTCCCTTGCCTGCCTCTCCTCTCCAGTTCAGGTCTCCGACCGTCCCATCAAGTCATGAGACGCACATAACCGAGTCTTGGGACCTCTGCCGCTCTGCCAGAAATGAGCAGGCCGATGGAACTCCTTTATGATGCCTGTTTAAATGCTGGGGGCCCGGTGCTCTCACTAAGCATTTGAGGAGATTCAGCTGCATTCGGAGCGTGTGTTTTCCTTCTTGTGGGCGCTAGCGGTGGCTGAGAAGAAAAAAATTGCATGTCACTCATCATTTAGTTACTTGTCTCTATTTTAGGTCCGAGATTTAATAAACAAAATCCGGGAAGTGTTCATCGAAACACTAGATGAATTACAGTGGATGGATGAAACATCAAAACAGAAAGCTCGTGAGAAGGTCAGAAATGACAAGAAACCTCAATATTCTGTGCAGCAATATCAGAAGATCGGGTCCAATTTTGCGAGATTTATTTTCCATCCCTTAAAAGAAGGGGGAGAGAGAGAGAAATAAAAATCCACTTTCACAAATATCCATCATTTTCTCCAGGCTATTGCCTTTGATCCTTTATTTGCTTAGCACTCCAACTGCATTGCAGAACACAGGAGACTCTAAAGTGATGTCACATAAAAGTGGTGCACCAAAGAAACCCAAACTACTAGTTACCTAAAAGAGCCAAACTGGTAAATCCAATTAAAAAGAAACTTGCCTCTATAATAAGGGCTTCTCTTGTCCAGCAACATCCGTGGTCCAGCGTCCACGGATGCTCTGGAGATGGAGCACTCATGGGGTGAAAGCTCGGGGCCCTGTCCTTCCAGAGATCCCGGAGTGCCACAAATAGCCAGTTGGTGGCGTTCAAGCTCAGGGAGGGAGGGAGGGAGAGGAGTGGGGATGGGGAGGGTATTCTTGGGGGGGGGAAGGCAGGGCCGTTGTGGAATCCCGCAGTTGAGGACCAAGAGTGGAGCCCTGTGGCTAGCAGCTGGGAGCTCGGAGCCCACGGCCGGGAGCACAGCTCCATAATTTCTGTGCTTCACTCCTCGCCCCCAGCCACAGGGCTCTGCAGTCACCCTGCCTTTCCCCAAGCACCCGTCCATCCGTACTCTGTCAATGCTGGCCCCAGAGCGGAGCCCCACAGCTGGCTGCATTGACCTCCCCAGTCTGGCAAATTCCCTAGTTTGGGACCGATCAGGTGCCAGACCAGGGAGGTTCAATTTCTCGTAATAAACGTCCAAAAGCTTAGACCAAGTTTCCTTAAATTCTTCGTGTGTGTGAAGCGGATGAAAAACATCCATTTTGGTGTTAGCCAGTGCCTCCGGGCAAGGCATTATTCCACAAGAGGAAGGTATTCAGATGTTTCCCAAATGGAAACTTTTGCCCATTAAAAATGCCTTGTTTCTCGGTAATGTTGCCTCACTTCAGATAGGATTTGGGTGGCTCTATATCCCACGGCAAAAGGCTGCTCTTCTTCAGCCAGCAGGCATTTGAGGATTTTCACTGCAGAGAGCCTTGTGTCCTGAGCTTTCTCCAAGGGAGCCAAAGGTAGCATAAATTGACAACATATTTGCATAATGCTGCCCAATGTTCATGTGAGATGAGGAAGCAGAAGGCACCCATGTTAATTTCCTAGTTGGTCAGACTATTGATTTCAATGGTGTTACACGAACTGGATCTGGAGCTAATTGCTGTTGAAGTCAATGGGAATCATCCCTAGGTGTAAGGTCAAGCCTTCAGTGGGTGCAGGCCACAAGTGAGTGGCAACATAGGGCATGCGGGATAAAGGTCCTCCCTGCGGTAAGGTGGTGGGGCGGGTTCCCGCGTGGCCTAGGGGATGAATTCTGACCCCGGAAGAGCATCTGCTCACATCTCCATATGTCCATCAAATAGATTCTTTGTGAGCTCTTCATATGAATATTTACTAGGCAGAATTCAGCCCTGGGTAACTCCACCAAAACTAGTGGACCGACACCAGCAATGAATTTGATCCATTGTCTAGTGCGACCCGGATCTTTTTTCTATTGCGAGGCCATTGTGGGCTTTCTTTTCTTGTAGGCAATGGCAATTAAAGAACAAATTGGCTACCCAGACTATATTTTGGAGGATCAGAATGAAAAACTGGATCAGGAATATGCAAATGTAAGTACATGGCATGTACCTGAAATAGTCCAGGCTGAGCCTCTCTAGTCCAGCAATGTCTGGTCCGGCAACATCCATGGTCCAGCATGATTTTAGTTCACCAGATGTCCACTTATCATAGGTGTAGCCAACTTTCCCGCAGTCCCATAAAGTTTGTTTGCAGTCCCCAGTCCTAGCTCTCAGTGTTCCATGCTGTTATTGAGCTCTGATTTACCCCTGAATGTCTTCTAAGAGCCCAGCAAGCAGTGGAAGTGTTGGTAATGCTGCTAGACAATATTGACCTCCTGTGGTCTGGCAAATCCTTTGGTACACATACTGCATTGTCATTTACAATATTAAATACCTGTGTTCCTGTTGTTCCCAGATGTCCCAATCAGACCAAGACCCCATTTGGCTAAGTTCTATATATCTCATGCGAAGGCACAGTCCTTGCCCCAAACAACTCCCTATTTAAGAACTGGCCATCTGTTTCTATACGATGCATAACTACAGGACAAATAGTTCAGAGCTGCCTGGTGGAAGGAAATTCTCCATTAAATGAAACCCACTAATACACTGGGATTTGTATTTCTTTAGTTGAACTTCAGTGAGCACAAGTATTTTGAAAACATCCTGGAAAACCTGAGAGCAGGAGCTCAGAAAAGCTTGAAAAAACTTCGAGAGAGAGTTGACCAAGAGATGTGAGTGTCCAGACTGCATGGCTATATAAACACCCTAAGTCCTGGAATAATGGTTAAGTATCACACTGGTGCCCCAATGGTGGTGTTGCCCTTCCACACACTTCAGAATATTTTTGTTTGCGATTGTCACAGGGTATGTCTATACTATCTGTTAGATCAATGGGCAGCGATCAATTTATCATGTCTAATATAGACATCATAAATCAATCGCTGAGCGCTTTCCCATAGAGTCTGGTATTCCAGCAGAATGAGATGCATAGGCAGGATTGACAGGAGAGCGTCTGTCATAGACTCACTGCAGTGAAGACACCGTGGTAAGTAGATCTAAAGACATCGACTTCAGCTATGTTATGCCGGTAGCTGAAGGTGTGTAACTTAAATCGATGGCCCGGGGTAGTGGAGACCAAGCTTATGAACGAATAAATAGCTCTTTGCCTACCTCTAGTGGTAACGCACGTAACAGTGGCTACATGGGATCAGTCAGACTTTTTAGAATTTCAGATAATCCTTCACAGAACCACTTGAAGGATTATATTACAATGGAGTTACTTATCACAAGCACTGAGACTGATCTTCCTGGCAGGAGAGCAATGAGGAGGGACCAGTCTGTACCGTGGAAAATGAAAAACTGAAAGGAGGTTAAAAACCATGGTTTCAATTGCCTTTCAAAGTCCAGCTCCCAGCATGTCTGTGCTTTGTAGCAATTTAGATCTGGAGCCAGAGGTGAGCTTTTAAGTCCAGGCCCATCTTTAATTAAGATAATGTATTGCTCTGGGTGGTGAAGCAATTAAATATCAACATTTTCACCCCAACCATTAGAAATGTGATTTTATTAGGATGAAAATGTAATTTTCATTATCTCAATATTATGGCTACAGGCTGAGCCAGATTAATTCTTCTGGAGGCCCGGGGCTAGTAGATTTTGTAGGGTCCCACTTGGCTCCAGGGGGGCCATAAATAAAGGGATAAGTGTGTGGGAGTGGGCTGCCAAGGAGCAGGTTGTGGGTGGAGGTCTGGGTGGGATGTAGGGTGCAGGAGGTGGTGGGTGGAAAGCAGGGTGTAGGAGGGGCTGGGTTTTCGGGGATGGATGGGAGGTAGGGTGTAGGAATGGGCTGGGGCACAGGGTCGGGTGGGAGGTAGGGTGCAGGAGTGGACTTGGGCTGGGACTGGGGGTGCAGGGTCTGCACAGGACGTAGGTGTAGGGGTGGGCTGGGGGTGAGGTTGCAGGGTCTGGAAGGCAGGAAGGGTGAGTGAGGGGGCAGGGGATTGAGGCCCTTACCTGGCGCAGCTCCTATTGGGTGGGAGGGGGGACAGGTGGCTCTACACAGCCCTGCACGTGCAAGAACCAGCCCCTGCTGTTCCCAGTGGCCACAATTCCAGGCCAATGGGAGCAGCAGGGGAAAGCCTGCAGGTGAGAGCGAGGACAGAGCTTCCCTGCGCTCACAGCAACACGGCTCCAGCCACGGGGGAGGGGTGCAGCGGTGCACAGAGCCACCTCCCCCCATTCTCCTGCCAGGCAGAGCCAACCCACAATACAGCACACAAGGGCTTTAGTGGCAGCATCCCTGGGGGAATTCAGCCTTGGGCTGCAGCCCCTTTCAGAATCTCCCCTTCTCTGTCTTCTTCCCTCAGGCTGTGAGATGGAGTCTGACAACTTCCCTTTCCCTGGGCTGGGTCCCATGCTACAGTGTTCCCCTGGGTTCCTGTGCCTGCAATTCTTCCCTTTGGGAGCTTAGAACCAGCAGGGAATACAGGGACCCCCACACCCTTCCTTAAAACAGAAGCACTGTCTGTTTGGCCACAAGAACAACGAGTCACGTTCAAAGAGTGAAAGGCCCACGCGCGCGTGGTTCGACTCTCGCCATCCTCTTCCTGAGGAGCCCAGGAGGTCTAACTTCCCCTTTGATCCCCCAGCCTCCGGAGTCTGGATTCACATCAGCTTTCCCTCCCTGGCCTTGGAATCCAGCCCACCGTCTTTGTTTCTGTCTGCCTCCGATTTGAAGAGGGCCGCAAAAAGTGGGGTGGAGCCAGAGCATTTAAGTCAATGGCTCAGGGTAGGGACAGGTATCTCTGATTTCCCCTCACTTCTGAGTGCATTGCCTATCCATCCTGTTGTTAACGGAGTTCAATACATCCATGGAGCAAACATCCCTCATGCCAATTAGACACGCACACAGACGGTGACCAGATGTCCTGATTTTATAGGGACCATCCCCGTATTCAGGGCCTTTTCTTATATAGGTACCTATTAGCCCTCCACTCGCTGTCCTGATTTTTCTCACTTGCTGTCGGGTCGCCCAATATATAGGGAACATACAGTTTTCATAAGCTCCACATCCATTATGCTTGGCAAAGCAAACTGCTGTCCAAAGGAGCATCCTCCCCCCAACATCAGCCTTCAGCGTGAGAGGTTTTGCTGGTTACAGGCAGCAGCAAGAAAGCCAACAACTAATCAGACGTTTGCATGCTTAGCAGAGCTCCATCCAGCATGAGGATGTTTCCAAGACAAAGGAAAGGCAGAAGCAAACGCCAATTGGCGTTTGATTAACACCTCTGTTTATGTAACACTGTTAACAAAGTCTGGGATCTTGCTTCTCTTGAAGCCAGTGGGAATTTGGCCACGAACTTCCCAGAAAGCAGGTTCAAGCCTAAAATCATGATCTTTTCATCAACAATGATATTACGGAGCATTGCATTGGGCTAGTTTGGCCCAAAGCCACTGGGTTCAGATTAAGATGTGGGATATCTGCCCGGATGTCAGTACCTTGCACTGAAGCCATTTTATTTTCATCTAATATGCAGAGTATACCTAATAAAACCTGTATATGTTACAACATCTATCACTCACAGGTTGCTATTTGGAGAGTTGAGATGTATTAAACAATGGGAAAAGTTGAATCGTTTGGGAGATTGAAAATGAGTGCAGGCAAAGTTCTTGCAAGGACAAAGTAGAAAAATTATCTTGTAGTCGCTGGGACAGGATGGACCAGTGATCTTTTCCATCTGCAACTTCTACAAAGCCATGAAAATCATTTGCTACACAGAAAGCAAAATGCAAGGGAAGAATTGATTGAATTACTTATTGCAAATAACGTTCCTTGTGAATTTATACCTCTTTCTGTTCATGAATTGATCCTAATGTCTGCCACTGTGTTCATCTTTCAGACTTATTATCTCAATAGTCTTCTGAATTGTGGGTGGTTTGCCAAATATTTGCTGCAATTATTTATTATTCGTGTTTTCTGATAGGTCAGCTAACTGATATCACATTGTCTCTGCACCCTGGTTGGTCATGTGAAACTTTTAAAATAGGAGACTAGCCAACAAACTTCAAGGCGTAATTTTTGATGTATAAACATTCTGGCTCGATGTGTAACTTCTGAGATTCCAATACTTTGGTCAGTTAAACCTTTGGGAATAACAATAAACCAAACCTGGGGGCTTTAAGCAGCACAAATATCCGTGGACTGTTGGTTTGTTTTCCATTCAAACAGGAATATGGTTACCCGTCAAGGTACATCTACATAGCAGCGTGATATCGGAATAACTGATGCGTGTCTACACTACAAGCCTTTAGTTCAAAATAATGTTGAGCTGGAGAACTTCTTACTCCAACTTATGGCAACCCTCATTTCACAAGGTGTAAGGGAAGTCGAAGGAAGAGTGTTCTTCCTTCGACTTCCTGCTGTGTAGACAGCAGGCCAAAAGCCAAGTTAAGCTATTTTGACTTCAGCTACGCAATTGACATAGCTGAAGTTGCGTAGCTTAATTCGATTTTAGCCCTGCTGTATACACGTAACCTCAGTGACTAGAAGCAACTAAATGTGTTGGCAGCCAAATCTCTCCTTATCTCTACTCATTCCAGGCTTGGTCGAAAGCCTATTGGACTTCAAAGCAGCCTTTTTTATTTCACTCACTTAATGGACTTCTTTTGTGTGGTAATTTGGTAGCGTGTGGAGTTATTATATTTTTCATTTTTCATTTATGATTAGTAGACATCCAGAGAAGTCTGCTTGCAGTCTTGGAAGATTTCCCCGCTCAGGCATAAAACTACTTCTTACTTTAGATCATTAACAGTCCATTGTGTCAAGACCCAAATTGAAGGAGAATTCATAACTAATCTTATTCAGCATCATATCCACTAATAATCACAGTCAGACAGAAAGACTATGTTCATGTCCCAGGACTGTCCCCTTTTAAAGTAAAAGAGAAGGTTTGTTATTATAGGTCTCTTGACTAGTTACCTGTTTATTTCAGGACATATAAAGCATCTGGGGGATGCTGTGTAACCATATTGTAATGTAGCCATTCATTATCATGTGCTAAGTTGGGATCCAAGAAACAGTAAGTGTCCTGGCTAATGAAAAATTCCAAAACTGAGTACTTCAAACAAGAATTACTTATCAAAATTACTCACTGTCAGTGAAAAAATCAATTTCACAATATAGATGGCAGTACCTGTCTGGCTTTACATTTGTGATGATTTACTCTCTGACTGTTCTAATTGAACATTTTCAGTAGATACGCTTGGCCCCAGTTCTCAGTGTGGGTTGATACATTCTGCTGCCCTAAACACCCTCTCTGCATTTCTATTTAAATGTTGTATTCTTCATTGCTGGTCTTAAACTGTTAAATTGCAATGCTGGGAGTGTGGAACAGCTGCCACGTTCCACCCCAGAGGTGGCTGCTTAGCAGTAGAGAGCAAAATGTGACCTGGCTTTGATCTTGTAGGATGAACAGTGTCATACACACTAAAGATTGTTATCATTTTCCAGTTGGAGTGTCCTTGCTGAACCATTCCCCAGTTCTTTTCTTCTCCACCCCTCCCGTTTTATATGCAACTCATGCTTTTTGACAGAGATTAACTCAACCAGGAGTATGCTTATACAAACGACTATATCTTTACCTATTGTTCTTTCCAGATGGATAATTGGTGCTGCAGTGGTCAACGCATTCTATTCCCCGAACCGAAATCAGATAGGTAGGTTTCAAGCCATTGTACGTGATCAGTGGACGCTAAGGATTATTTGTGGGGGAGAGGCAATAGCCATGCATGCTGGAGGGCCGTGCAGTTGCCCAGATACAGCCCAGACTTAACTTTTGTAGCATTCCCGGATGTTTGGCCCAACCCTTTGGATGACTGGTGAATGTTCAGCTCAGTTAATCTTGGCAGGAGCAGTTTACGCTCCTTCACTGAAATAGCCTTGTGTTTGAAAACCCTGAAAGGAATAGCCACGACACGAGTGCTAACTTAAGGGAGCAGGGAGCCCTCACCACACAGCGGAGGCTGTTGAAACGAATGTCTCCGCCCGCCCGGGAAGTGTATGCAGAGTTCCCCTCGCTGCTGTTCGTGCAGAGGGCACTGAGGTTATTTTCATGAGTGACACACACGGCTGAAGGAACTTGCCTCTGCTCCTGGGACATCGGACCTGTGAGGGCTCCCAGATCTGCTGGCCTGATCTCCACCAGTGTTAATGGGCAGTAAGGTCTTCAGTCATGAGAGACCCAGCTGCTTTTCTGTGCCCTATGCTTACCGGAACGCTGAGCTGGTGAAAATGGCCAGCAATGGCTATTAGCCAAGATAGGTAGGGAGGGTGTCCCTAGCCTGTTTCTCAGAAGCCAGGAATGGGCGACGGGGAGGGATCGCTTGATGATTCCTTGTTCCGTTCCTTCCCTCTGGGGCACCTGGCATTGGCTGCTGAGGACAGGATACTGGGCTAGATGGACTTTTGGTGGTTCTTACATTCTTAATGCAGCTTAAACCTGCAAGCTCCAGGTCCCATCAGACCCAGCACCCAGGCACTGTTTTCCTTCTCTCCACTTCCCCCTCCTTCATGTTGTGCATGGTCCCTCTTCTCCCCTCTGTGCCTGTGATTTTTTAAAGGATTTCTATAGTTATTACTTTTAAGTGATCTCATTCCCCTCCACACGTGCCAGAAGGCCACATGCTGCTCAGGTTGGGTGTTTACTGGTGTCGCCAAAGTCTTACCCTTACCAAAACACATGTCCTCACCTGGCATTCGCAACCACTCTAATCTCAAGAACACTGTGTAGGCCTCAGCGTCACCGGCAGCTATTTCGACACCTTACTGTCCATGGCATAGACATTCCTTTCAAAGGGACAACACCGCTGCATCCCCTCACCAACAAGGAATTGCTCGGCAAGCTTGAGGGTCCTAACGCAAAGAGGGCAGGGATAACCTGAAATTGAAATCCATCTGAGATAGGCGCTGGGTTTCTCTCAATGTGCAGGCCCCTGCATTCATCCTGAGGGGCATGTCTCCACCATGAGTAGTGTGATGACAAAGAGCCCCCTTCTGCCTACTAATTTGGCTTCCTTTTTGCCAGGGAAGCCAAATGTCAAGCAGTCACTCGGGCATGTCCTTCCGAGCTGTGATGTGGCCCATCAAGAGGCAGGGATCCCCAGGACTTTCTTTGTTTTTTAACCTTTTTTCTGCTTTTTTCCAAGATGCCAGCTCTGTGGTCCTGTGCGCACGGATTCCCGACCTCTTCCTCAGATTTGTGTGGTGCATTTTAGACAAGTCTTTAAAGAGGCAGAAGCTTCAGAGAGAAATGTGCATTTTGGACCAAAGACATTGTTAGGAATCCCTTAAAATAGTGAACATCTTCTGGGGATTTTGTTGCCAAACGCGAATAAATGTGCAGTTTCAGGGTATGTCTAGACTACATGGCTCCATCAACGGAGCCATGTAAACTAGTCTACCCGACATAGTCAATGAAGCAAGGATTTAAATAATACTCGCTTCATTAGAATAAAAATGGCCACCGCAAGGTTTACAGGAGCAGTTGACAAAGGCTTCCCTTGTCAACCGATTCATGTCTAGACTACCGCGCTGTGCCGGATCAGCTGATTGTCGGCACAGTGTGGTGGCCATTTTTATTTTAATGAAGCGGGGATTATTTAAATCCCCACTTCATTGACTATGTTGGGTAAACTAGTTTACATGGCTCCGTCAACGGAGCCATGTAGTCTAGACATACCCCCAGGTTTTCAATGAAATCCCCAAAATTCCCCCGCCCCACCCAAATTTCATCAAACAGAATCTTTTTTCACTTTTTGAAATTTCACGCAGGAACAAAATCATTCACCAACCAGAAATAGCTGCTAAGTCTTCTCTTTAGACTGAATATTATCATTAAATACTCTGAGTCTATCATCCCTCCAGGAGCCTTGAAAACCTGGTGCCTGGCTCACTATCTCTGACAGCCTCCAAAGGGTTCCATATCCAGACCTCTGTCGATGCTCCAAGAAGCTATTAAATGAAAATGTAGTAAAAGCTTTCATTAAAACATCCTTCACTGGGTTTGGCGCATATGGGATGCTATGAAGTGCCAACTCCTTCTATAAACACTCTTGCTTCCCTCCCCCTCCCTCCTTCCACAAACTGCTTGGCCAATAAAACCACGTCTCATTGAATCTAGGGCCCTCAGCAAATGTACCCATTGAGTTCTAGTTTGTTTTTTCACCCAATGTTGAAATTCCTGCTCCTGTCTTAGGGGGAACTGTCTCCCTTTCTTCTTGTGAACTGTGCAACCATCCTTCTTTACAAAGGGCTTTGCATCGCCCTACACCAGTTTTTGCTATGTGGTTCCCATTTTTCACTTATTAGGAGGCATCTTATCAGAATAACCCATTTGCAGCGTTCTTTCCTTGTGAAGGGCACATGTGTTGCTTCTTTAATGCTTGAAAGGAAAAATAAACCCATTGCCAATTGGGTCCGTAGTGTGGACGCTGCTAAAACTATTTTTTCCAAGGTGGTTGTCCAAAGTACACTTGGGAGACGGTAGTAATGCCTATGGAGTGTGCTTTAAACATTAAGCCTCAGTGTTATTTGTAGGCTGAGAATGGTTGTTAACCTTTCTGTTCACAAAAATAAAGCAATAAAACCTCCATTAGCTCCCCCATAAAATGTCTCTACACCACAAACCGAACATAGTTCATCCGGACAGCGAGAGGACAAAAATGTGCAGGTGAGCCAACATTCACATGCAATGGTAACACACAGTGCCTGTTGTGTCTTTCAATCAGAGCTGTAGCCTTTAACGGCAAATACAAAATTTGAGCTGCTCCTCTGCCAGTCCCGTAAAATTTAACACAACTGGAGCGAGGGAGACAAGGAGGAGAGGGTCCATTCTGCCTCTTGCCTCCTATAAAGGATTTTCAGTGCTGTTCTGATTAAAAGCACTCCCTTTTTCTTAAATGAAGTATTTTCATCTGTATTAAATAGCCTTTTTTCAAATAACTCTCTTCTTGGCAATCAGTTGACGGGATTATAGAAATTATTTGTATTTAATTTTAAAAAATCATCTCTTTTCAATATTTTCTCTAAATCTTTTCTCTAAATATCGATAGTGCCATTTTTTGTTGCCTCACCCCAAAGTCTGCTTTGGTTAAATTTTCCAAAACAACAACCTGCCAAAACCAATGGCCGCCACCAGTTGATCCATTTTAAACGTTTCAAACTTAAATCAGTTCTGAAGCAGTTTTGTGCCAATAGGTTTCATTTTGCAACCAGTTCTACTTGTGACGGTTGCCGCTCTCCTGATGATATTAGGAGCAGACAACGCCAGGTGGTTCTTCAGATCCCAGGCTAAGTGTGTCAGTTTGGGAGGGGAATCATCTTTCAACGTGTCACCTAAGTAGTTCTTTGCTTGCTTCCCTACAAGGGAATTAATAGGGAGATTCTGCTGTGTGATTCTAAGTCTCTTTTCTAATTATAACTGCACCTTAATGCACAAGCTGTATACGACTAAGCAAGCTGTGCTGGAAAGGAAATTTGGCTGAGTTCTCCAGCCCAGGCACTCAGTAATGGATCTAAAAGTGACTATATTATTACAAAGCAATTTCAAAAGCCAGCTGGAGAGAGACGCTGCAGAACTTGGTTTCATTTGCAAGCGTGATACCTGGAATCCAGATCTGAGCAAAGACCTGAACTGGATGGGCTGCTGTTCCATACCCTAACGACCTAAAAAGCCAAGCACCGAGTACTTAGAGCCCACTCTATTAGCTTCATTTAGCATGGACACTCTCATTGACAATATTTTCCCCCTTTTCTTTCCCTCCCCACCCCCTCTCTTTCTCTGCTATTTATTTGTGTCCTGGGTGCCTTAACTCCATTCATCTGAAGAAGTGGCTGTGCCCACTAAAGCTCATGATCCCATCTACATGTTTTGTTAGTCTCTAAGGTGCTGCAGGGCTATTCGTTTTTTCAGGGTTTTTTAAGGAGATTTTATGGTTACAGGTTCCCTACATTTAAGAACTACACCCTGTAGGCAAAGATCAATTCACATGAGCGTCATTACTGTGGTATAAGGTGCATAAACAGAGGAAACATCCCTTTTCAACATGGATTGTTTTCTGCTTCCTCTGCGGCCAAAGGCTGGCCCATTTTCAAAGCACACACAGATCTCTCTTGGCAGTGTTTCCTGCTGGAATCCTACAGCCTCCCTTCTTTAGCAAACACCAGCCACAGGCACTGAACTTCGGCGGGATCGGGATGGTAATTGGGCATGAAATTACTCATGGTTTTGATGACAATGGTGAGAAGAGGCTAAAAAGAAACCCTAAGCAAAATATTCCTTTTGTAATTGCATCAATCATGCTGAGGAGAACTAGATGTGGGTGGTAACGGTTATAGAATCCTAGGGTGGGGAGGGATCTTGGGAGGTCATTGAGTCCAACCCCCTGCCCAAAGCAGAGCATGAGCAGTGATTGCTGTGAGCAAAACACACATGCTCTGGCTCTCTCTGCCTCTCACACATATACGGATTGTGATCGCATACTCCAGATGTGTGATTTGGGGAGAATGACCCTTGAACCTTATCTTGGGACAATGAAGCAAATGGGTTTAAAGAAGCAGATGAAATGAAAGGCAATGCCCCAGAAACCCTATGGCTATGTCTACACTGGCAGCTTCTTGCACAAGAACATCTTGCACAAGGGTTCTTGTGCAACAAGTCTTGCGCAAGAACATGTGTCCACACTGCCATGAGCGAGATGTGCTTTTGCGCAAGAGCACCCATGGCAGCGTGGATGCTCTCTTGTGCAAGAAAGCTCTGATGGACATTTTAGCTATAGGGCTTTCTTGCACAAGAGAGCTTACATTTATAAGAAAAGAGCGTAGCTCTTGCACAAGAAAGCCCTCTCTAACCACGCCGTACTGTAAATCTTCTTGCACAAGAGCCGGCGGGCAGTGTGAACGATCTGCAGATTCTTGTGCAAGAACGGCCATTCTTGCACAAGAACCCGCCAGTCTAGGCATAGCCTATGACTTCTATAGCAGTAAGATATCAGAACCACTGTCACTGCTCGCCTGCGTGCTGCCTTTTAAAACAAAATGAACTCTGAGAAGCACATTCTGGGGGCAGAACAGTGTCCCAACCCACCCATTGGTTAAACAAAATAATTCATTTTGTCATTATCTTTGAGAGGGGCCCAAAATGCTTGTGCACATTGAGAGTCAGTTCCGATGCTTCTTTAAAAAAAAAATCAGCAATTCTTTGCACATAGGCTTATTGAATGTGGTCTTTGATGCTATGGGCCCTATGTAATGTAAACCACCTCGTTAGGGTAGACACTGTCCCCTGCTGTGAAAATGCAGCATCCCCCGCACAGTAGGGTCTTCATCCTGATTGCAGCCCTTATGTACGTCTGTGATACAATTAATAATATTCCTAATTAGCCCATAAATCCTCCAAACCCCCCTGCAAATACAGAAAGCACACGTGTCAATTGACAGGGGGAGCCCGAGGGTTCAAGTGAGTTAGTGATTTTGCCAGAGCCATGGAAGGAGCAAACCAAGACAGAAGTTGCAAAACAGACTCTCCCTATGGCTTAGAACATGCCCTTTGCTCAACATGGACCAGCTACAGCATGGCTGTGTCTAGACTGGCAAGTTTTTCCGCAAAAGCAGCTGCTTTTGCGGAAAAACTTGCCAGTCTAGACACAGCCATGCTGTAGCTGGTCCATGTTGAGCAAAGGGCATGTTCTAAGCCATAGGGAGAGTCTGTTTTGCAACTTCTGTCTTGGTTTGCTCCTTCCATGGCTCTGGCAAAATCACTAACTCACTTGAACCCTCGGGCTCCCCCTGTCAATTGACACGTGTGCTTTCTGTATTTGCAGGGGGGTTTGGAGGATTTATGGGCTAATTAGGAATATTATTAATTGTATCACAGACGTACATAAGGGCTGCAATCAGGATGAAGACCCTACTGTGCGGGGGATGCTGCATTTTCACAGCAGGGGACAGTGTCTACCCTAACGAGGTGACACTCAAAACAAACAAGATAAAAGTGGGTGTAACAAACAGCTGCACCTGTCCCACCTGCTCCATTAGAGAGGCAGGTAGGAAGACAAGTGTCATAGTGAAACACGGCTAGAAGTTGCTTGGGTTAGACTGCTAAAGTGTAGCAACTGTGCACCAATATTTAAAGCTGGTAATCCGTCAGGGTCTCTAAGGACACAGGCCAGTATATCCTGAAACCAGAGCTGATGGATTTAGGGGTGTGGGAGCACACACCCCTGCTTGGAACTATTTCCATTACACTTCAATAGCTCCCAGAACCCCAGCTATGAAAATTACCCCACCACCTCTGCCTGAAACAGTTTCTCCTCCATTCTTTGGTTTCCCAACCAGGAAGAAATTTTGACAAAGACGGCAATATGTTTGATTGGTGGAGCAATTTCTCCGCCATGCATTTCAAAGAGCAGTCCCGCTGCATGGTGTATCAGTATGGAAACTACACTTGGGACCTGGCTGGAGGGCAGAACGTAAGTACATGCCGCAGGATGGGGCGTGTGTGAGTTAATGGAGCAGGTGGGACAGGTGCAGCTGGTTTGAAAGCGAGAGTGTCTGAGCGCTGGAAGTCAACTCTGCTATGGAGAGTTGGAATCAAAGTCTCTCCAGGTTTAAGCCTAGTGCACTAAGCCTCTAATGTAGGCAGGGGAACCTAAGGTCCAGGGGCCAGGTGCAGCCCCCAGCTTGCCTGGATCCAGCCTCCAAAGCTTGGGGCTCCTGCCTCCAGCACTGGGGAGCCTGTATTGGTGCTCCAATCCCCCCTTCTGCTGTCCCCCCACAGGGCTGGAGCACACAGTGTCTACTAGCGTGGGCCCCCCTAGACTCTGGTGTGAGAGAATGCCTTTCTCCTTCTCAGTCAGGGGCCACATCGGAGAGGGGTTTTGTTGTTGTTGTTTTGCTTCTCATTTGCATGTGGCCCTCAACTGATTTTCCTGTGGGTCAGCAGCCCTCAACCCCCCAAAACAGTTCCCTGCCCCTACTCTAATGCATAAAGTAGCCGCCCCAGTCTTAACGTTACTTCTTATTTTCTTCTAAAGCTTCCTGA